GCCGATATCGAAAAAAAGTTTGGCCGAATTTGGCCGTGAGATGGCGTGTGTTTGGCCGTGAAGCCAATAACGCATAAATGGCGCCCTCTTGCTAAATTGTAAACTTTTGAACCTTGACCGACGCTTCTATTTGTTACGCGTAAATCGTGGAGAACGCTATCTTGTGTTTATAAGATCTTTGGTTCGAATAAAATGGTGGCTGGCCGCATAAGAAAACGGTTGAACTGAGGTGTCTTTTTCTTACTTCAACCGTTCGTTGCATTGTAAGAAGCTATATCAGAATCGGACTCGTAACAATATTTATGTGTGTGTATATAACGTGTACATTTATAAAACTTGGATGGCATCACAGTCTAAAAAAATAAACACAACAAACAAACAAATACATACATCACCTTAAAATCAATATTGTCACTCTATTGGGTATTGTGTTCAATAAAAATTCTATCTCATAATTGCATTATTTAATGGTGATCGTCAAACAAAAACGAAACAAAATGTAACATATTTATCATTGCATTATTCGTTGAGGTGTTTGTACATTCATTGGACTGTTAGTGTAATCATTGAAGTTTTGAAGGTTGCACTTTTCGCGTTCTATAAAAGTGGGCTTTTAGCATGTGCCGCGAGAAGACCATAGCGGTGCGACTCGATGGAGCTTCAAATTATTAATGACATCACCATAAGAAGCCACACCTTCCTGGCTTGAAATCGTGGTACACTATTTAGTATTTAGCTGCTTACTGTACTGTACCACGGAAACGGGAATTCCATTAGGGAACTATTATAGTGCACTATGTTTTTATTTCACAACAGCCATCTTTGTGTATGAATGGTGCTGAGAATGATGATCAAGTTGTCCCTTGTATTCATTGTTTTCTTTAACCGTAAGTTAAATTTTATATCTTGTTAAAAGTTCAAAAAACAACGGTACGCTCTAAAAACACCTGGTCATACGTTCATAGGCGTAGATCCCGGGGGGATGGGGGATATATCCCCCCAATATTTGACAAGGGGGGATGGTCCATTGTATCATCCCCCCCCAATATTTTGACTATGTATGGGATAAAATGGAGCTTTACACACTTAGAAAGACTGTCACAGGAATAATTTGCACTGTCTTATGCGCTTACAAAGATGAAAATTAGCATAATGTATTAATGTTGATAACAAAATTATTTTATCTGGTACCAATCTAAGCTCTTCTTTCCTTAGATGTTAGATGTGCTTGCAAAGAGAGCCACATTTCACACTGAAGGGTGTGTACGACATCAGTAATGTTATGTCAATACAAAGAATGTTTAAGGTTATATCGGTTGATGAGGAATTTATTGATTAGGCCTATAATAGCAAATTGCAATCATCATCATAATAATAATAATAATAATAATAATAATAAATAATAAATAATAATAAATAATAATAATAATAATAATAGTAATAATAACGTACAATCCTCATTTCCCGGTTAATAATTTACCCACCCCACTCCCCATATAGAAAACAATACGACATAGGGCTTATCTTATTTATAATATAGGCCACACACGGTGTGTTTGAAACTAAATATAAGCATTTACATCATGGTTTTATTTATTACAAACATATTCTTTCACCATCTATACACATTGAGGCCTTTCTTTTAGGTTAAAATGATCTATCTTAAATTTGTCTTTCTTGAGTTTGGACTATTATGTGTTTAAATAACTTAAAAGGATAAAACTTAAAAAGCCCTAAAATGTTTTTGTGTTTTTAATTTTAATTTCGTCAGAATTGATGAAAACTCCCTAAAATGTGCAATTTATAGAAGAAATTGGCCTACCAAATGTAACAGACGAAGTACCCAAAATTAATGAAATAAAAACTAACACCATAAAACGAATGGCACGCATAGACTAATAATTGACGGCTGTACTCGCAACTAGTATCGGATTGTCGATGCCACAGTAAAGATCAAAGGACTGTACGCACGCGCTATGTTCGAGGGCGGAGATGTGCGTCCTTTTGTTGAATTACCTTGATCCGATCATCTACGAAATAATATTTTTTTGAACCCACAAATTGTATCACCACCCCCCCCCCCACTTCATCTGGACCTGCCCCTGGGAGGGCACAGTTAACCATGAAAATATTCAACTGAAATAGAACTTCTACTTTGAGACACCTCTCAGAGAACACTTTTACAGCCACAAAATGAGAAAGTATATATTTTAATATTACGAGACACCCCTCTAAGGGGATATGGTCCCAATTTTGTTCTCTTATTCGGGTTTTACTGTATTTTAGGACCTTAAAACAACAATCAATGTATTTCTCATGAGTCTATAGTCAAATCGGTGCACTTGTGGGTTCAAGCTCAACATCTGCTCCTGGAAGTAAATACAGAGTTAAGGAAGTTGACTAATAATCGAGTCTTTTTTGTGATAACAAATACAACAAGAAGTGATGAAGGATATTACCTCTATCTCATTTAAAATAGTGGATTTGATGTTACTTCAAATGATCACTGCCAAACAAACAGTCCAGTGTAAGTATATTATTGTGAAACTATTTTGTATACAGTAGGTTGATTTTGTTTTAATCTTGTCTTAGGAGTCAACAGTCAAGTCGCTGTCACTTTTCAATCAACTGACGCTGTAGCTGGTGATGATGCCAGATTGGAATGTGCATTTAATTTAGAAACTAGGACCTACAGAGCTTCTTTTCTGATACAAAGTGATGTAGATGGAAATCAACGTGATACACTTGTGGGTTCAAGCTCAACATCTGCTCCTGGGAGTAAATACAGAGTTGAGGAGGACTTGACTAATAATCGAGTCTTTTTTGTGATAACAAATACAACAAGAAGTGATGAAGGATATTACCTCTGTGTCATTCAAAATAGTGGATTGGATGTTACTTCAAATGATCTTGCCAAACTAACAGTCCAGTGTAAGTATATCATTGTGAAAGGATTTTGTATACAGTAGGTTGATTTTGTTTTAATCTTGTCTTAGGAGTCAACAGTCAAGTCAGTGTCACTATTTCATCAACTGACGCTGTAGCTGGTCATGATAATTTCTTTCCTCCTTTAGCTTCGGGTGGAAATCTCGACTGATCGAATTTTCTACACGAAGTTTACTAAGCTGGGTAGACCATGGAGTTATAAATATTTTTAAAAATGATTTTAAAATAATTATAACTCCATGATTGAGATCACCTGTCAAAATAATAGCTTGATAAAGATGGCTGTCAGGAAAAACCTTATCAATAGGCCTACTTACTGTCAACCTATTATGACTTTCCCAAAATGTGTATGGTGTTACACCCTGGTCCATAGAATTTCAAGACAGGTACATAATATTGATCTGCATATGGCAAGCATTGAACTTTTGGCAAGCAACAGTAAAAACAGCGCCTCCTCTACGATTGCAATTGCTTGTAAAAAAATTATATTTTTAATATAACAAATATATGGCGCATAACTCAGTGTCTGAGAAAACCCATCAAGATGAGATTCAGTGACACAAAGAATGGATGGAGATCCAATACAGAGTATATTCTGCAGCCCCCTTCCTTTCCAACACTGTGCATTAAAATAAATCAAACTGGATATGGAATCATGATTGTTACTACTAGCATTGTTATTGCACTTACATGTTAGTTTGAGTGTCCAGACCTGGATTACTTTCAGCGTCCTCTGTGATTATCAATAGTTCCCGTACTAAAACACTCAACATGATTTGCATAGAAAATATCATAGAATCCACACAGGGAGGTGCTTTTTCGGTAAAGTTGATTGAAAATATAAAAATAGATTCTGAATAATAAAAATATACAAAAATATCCTTATAAAAATATATATAAAATATCTGGGGAGATTGTCCCATTAACTTTCTTCGAGGTTTATCTCAGTGCTCAAACACCCAGCAAAAATTATACTGTATATTAAATATTTATGTACAATCATCATTTTCAAAGTATGGTTTTCATAAATCATTAAAATATAAATTGTAATGTAAATCATAATAATAATAAAAGGTAAAACAGATTTGATGTACAATCGTCAAATAAAATAGCAATTATGTGGATATAATGACATGAAATTAATGGCAGATCAGAATTAAGAATCAACTACATTCGGCAAGCAATACCTGGTTTAGAGAGATTACTTTTATAGAGAAAATATATTTTGTATAGACAGAAGTTCTTTATAGTTCTTAATTTGCTGTCATTTTTAGTTATCGACACAGTTACGATTGACGTTATTCCCAATCCTGTCACTGAAGGTAATAATGTAACATTTAATTGTTCTGTAAATGCGAATCCAATTCCAACAATCACTCTCTTGAAAGATGATACTGAAGTAAAAAGCGAAACATCATCAAATCTAACTTACAAATTGTATAGTGTGGATAAGAGAAATGGAGGGAACTACAAATGTAAAGCAAGTAACATCGCTGGAACTAATACATCACCAATTAAAGTGTTGGATGTTCAGTGTAAGTGGTCTTAATTTTCTTTAAATAAAGATTATATTTATTTGTATTAAATAATATCAATGTATGCAACACAACTTTCAATCATGTTATTCATGGGAATATTTGTTCTTAATGACTTCAGATTCTAATTTGCAAATTTACAGGATATCAAGTTTTTGTATATAGTACTACTAAATATAAAAGGCCTTGAAATTTGTTGGTGTTTATGTAAATTTTATATTGTATTCATTTACAGTAGTTGCCCATTATGCCGCAGCATCCTGGCATATAGGGCAGTAAATAAACAATAGATTATTGTTTTATTTTATGAATACAAAACTTGGTAGTATTATTGATACCTACCTGTACCTACCTACCCATTATTGGTATATTTTATGATTACAAAACTGGGTAGTTTCATTGACTGCTACAAAATGTAACTTTTGTATATTGACGATTCATTCAAAATGCTGAATCCCTAATAATATATCTACTGTTCAGATTCACCGGAAATTACTTTACCTGATAACATGACTGTTGCTCCTGGTGGGAATGCTTTTATTGAACCAAATGTTTTAGCTAATCCTGATGACATCACCTACAAATGGATCACTGATCATCCTGGAATTGATGATGTCGATTCAAACCCAGCAACTTTGACATTCAAGGTACCAGACGTTGTCTATACCATAACGGTGACTGCTACTAATAGCATTGGATCAACAACAGAGTCAGTAATGGTCATTGTTGCAGGTAGTGTAAGCATCAGAATTTCCAGATGGTAAATTGCCAGTGAATTAACTGTTGAAAACTGAAAGCAATGATGAATTATATAATAATATAAATTATCCAACATTGATATGTGATTTGGCTTAACTGTTATTGTTATAGACATTTTTTTTTTTTATAGAAATATAGATATATAGATATATGATTGTGTTTGTGATGTGGTTTCATGTGGGAAAGACAATATTTCAATGGTAAACAATGCATAGCGTCGGGTTTGTCATGATAACTACCGGTTGTTTAGCATTTTCCAGGCTGTCAGAAGGCACAAAAGTACGAATTATTTTCGAGGAACTAGTCTGGAGTGGATGTGAGCAGGGTTTGGAGAAGCAGGTTATGGGTGTTCTCCACCTATCGAGGATCCATGGGGCCATACTTGAATACATATCTGCATATTTAGCTATTTTATAGTCTTATCTAAGTTATATATTATACTCTGTTATATATTTTTTGGAGCCACACTGTACAATTACAAATTACCCTTTCGCCCCCCCCCCCACCCCCGAAGGGGGAAGAGGCTATTGCAATGAGCTCCATCTGTCTGTCTGTCTGTGTATTTTTCTCTGTCTCCCTGTGAGTGTCCTTACGGGAGAGCATAACAATTACCCCGTCCCCCGAGGGGGAGAGGGCATTACAATAAGCTCCCTCTGTGTGTGGGTGTGTGGGTGTGTGTCTCTCGGCGTGTGGGTGTGTGTGTGTGTGTGGGGGGGGGGGGTTCTGTTAGTGTGTGTGTGTGTGTGTTTGCCCTTCCGGGAATGACTGATGGGCTTGCCACTTGAAGCCTTTGCTTGGCCTCGTTTGGTGGACGGATTGGAGAAGTAAGATGCAGATTTTATAATGTTTTAAATATTTTCCGGCCTTATATATATACTTTAATGTGAAAAAATAAAATATGAAAAGTATTACATACATTCAACCATGCCCTAATCCAGATGCTGAACAGGCGTTAATGTGTATCTGCATAGATTTAGATTTGATGGAAGAATTATAATTCCTCCATGATTTGACCAACAGTGAATGCTATGTTAGCTGACACATGTACAGGGAAGATTTCCCTTTGTTAGCTACCATCTCGTGTGAGGAAAATATAATTATGAATTAAGAATTGTAAACTTTACACTTAACATGTACACCTCTACCTCTCGGCTACATTTCACCTGATGTGTATAGTTGGTAATATTACACGCTTATAATACAACAACAACAATTCAATAAATAAAATAGACATTTATTTTCTTCCAATTGTAGTCAAAATAACAAATGTCATTAAAAAACAATTGGTTTCTTCTTCTGAATTTAGCGCCAACTTCAAAATGAAGGCTTCGGCGCGAGCTTCATTCGCAGATGGGAGTCTCATCCGGAAGTATGGAGAAGTATATAAAAGTTAAATAAAAGAATAATGAAAATAAAAGTAAATAAAACAAATACCTGTAGCCCAAGGCGGGGCCCTTGCAGGTACTATCCCTCACGAGCCGAAGGGAACCAGGACCTCATCTTGGGCAAGGCCGCTCAATTCCTTGGGTAAGGCCATTAGCCTAATACTAATGGACCTTACCAGATTACCCATAGCCCCTACCGCCCACAGGCAACGCAAACAATTCAGCAATTAAAAAAAAAAGCAATACGAAGAACAATAAATAAGTATAATTGATGGGAAAGACAATTACATTGAGTGTGTAAGCTGAGTGTGAACATTTCAACGGAGATTGCAAGCACTAAACACTCCGGTAATGTGACCCAGACAGACGCTGTTCTTGGAAAGAATGAGTAGTTGTAATAGATTAAGAGACAAAATAAGGGACTTGCGAGAGAAGATTCACTAAAAAAATATAGTGATGGACAGGCCTGAACACAAACTCACAAAAACACACAGAGACCCAAACTGCCATTAATTCTATTCTCCTCAAACATCTAAGTAACATGTTTACCCTCAATCACTCAATTCACAATTATCGTACTCGATCCAGAAAAGATATTCGAATAGGCCTACCTAATCATAACACTAACTATTTTCATCACAATATTAGATACTGGTTCTATTCTCTGGTTTAATTTACCATCTCCAATTTTAAACTCAGTTTCTGTGAGGTCATTTACCAAAAACTCAGGAATCACCTTGTTTCGCAATACTAAAATTATTTTTAACGATCGTGACTTGCTGCTCCTTGAAACCATATTATGTTGTCATGATTGTGTGTGTGTTTGTGTTGTTTTTTGTTTGTTTGTTTGTTTGTTGTTGAAAATGTTAAAATTGGAAAATAAAGGAGAGGAAACAGCGGATCGAGTGCATCGACTGTACACAAAGATATCACTTAACAGGGCAAGTATTTGTAACATAAGATTATCTTGTTATAATATTGTCTTGATGAATCAAATCCTATTTACATGAGAAAAAATAGTTATTATTTAAAGTTTAGCTCCTATCTTCTTAAGAATTCACTTAAAGATTTTAATAATTACAAATTACCCAATAAATATAATAAATATAATATAATTATATTATAACAAAATTGTGAAACATGTAAATTATGAGTACCGTATTTTGCCGTAGGATTAAAAATTAAAAACGGTGCTGGGTTTGGA